CCATATATAATTTTGCAAATTGACACTTTTTAATTGACCTTTTTCGTTTGGTTAAGTTGGCACCGACACAACTCCCCTCATCTTTTCTCTTTTTCGTTTGGTTAAGTTGGCACCGACGCAACTCCCCTCATCTTTTCTCGATCTAAGACACAAGACCACCACAGTTTTCAATGTTACCAAAAACTGGCCCTGTGATACATTAGTTAGATCGTCATGACACGTTACCAAGAGCAGTATTTATTCCCAGGAAAAAGTTTTACATTTGCATGAAGATTCAGCCAATGTGGCCCAAACTTGAACTACATTTGGAAACCATCACACTATATGCACTATAATAATAGTTATAGTTAGTGACTTCCAACCACAGCAGGACAGCTGTGGTTCTTTAATGATGGCTACATGCGTCACTGTCCACTGTGGAGATCACAGGTCCAACAATAATTTACAGAATCATCTACATTACATGGAATCTGAATTAGTGAGGCCTAATGAACTCAAATCACAATTAGTAGAAGATGAAGACAATACTAGACCCATGTGAGCTACAGCTGAGCCGCTAAAGACAACAGTCTGACCATACAAAGGACCATAGAAGAGTTGGAGGACGTTCTACTGGTTAATTTATTTTTCTTTCATCTAAACTTCCCTTTCAAGTGGTTCAAACGAATGACAATGTGTTGTCCTGTTTAGATCAATTTGAACCAGCTGACCAAGGCTTTCTCAACACGTGGTATTGACGCTCACAGATGTCCGAATGTGCGTGACTATAAAGATTCAGGCCCAGCAGGACGTCGAGGAATGAGAGCAACATAAGCTGGACCAAAATCTGTCTGAACAGTTCCACAAATAAATCATTACTCATTGGCAACACAACTTAAGATTGAAACAAATGTGAGACCAACTAAAGGGAGAATGAAAGGAGTTATATTTTAGTGGTACAGAAGACATGGATCCAATCCAGTGTTTCAGACTGGTGGTTTTCAAACAGTGAGATGTTTCCAGAACCTTCCATCCTGCTTCACCAATGGTTTTTACATCGAGTTACTTTCACTTTCGTTTTTATGCTGCCTTCACCTACATCTTTTTTAAGATGTGATGAGAATAATTTGAGAGACAAATTACTGGTCACAGTGCAACCTAGTGGGCTTTAGTGTAATTTACCTGTGGCTGCGACATGTTAATGCGCAATTTAAATTAATAATGTAAAAATATGCTTGTAGCGCCCCCTGCAGTAAAGGGAAAGAAGTCCAGAGTCTTATGTTCACATGTGATGCTGTGATGTTATCAGCGTCAGTGTAAAAGTAAACAGCAGAGCATGGAGGTCAAACGAATTATTTTTATCTCAGCGGAAAAACAAATAAAAATACATACGCACATTCTCCACTAATGAGTGGGAAATCATTAGCTTTGTTGTTTACTGCACTACTCCCAGTCTGAACGTGTCACTCATCAACAAACACACAACGTATGTGGGCAAACCTGAATGGCCTTCCAGTCACAGTAATGTTGCTAAAGCTGAAATTCACCGCGGGTTAATGATTTAGGAAGGTGCAAACTTTCATCAAAAATACATTTTGGACGTAGAAACCTTCAAACCCTGCGCAGAAACCCCATTAATGCTTTTAAGTTTAGGCTTCCCTCCAGACATGTCAGATCAACCATAATAAGTTGAGCGTTTATGGACCTTTGCTCCCCAAATGTCTACCATGTTGCTAATTGCGTACATCTGTGGCTAGTGTTTTGATGTTTTGTCTCGATGTGCAGCTGTCGGTCCCGTTTCCAACAGCCTCTGGTTAAAAGTGGCGTAGCCCTGCGTTGTCTGTGTCCTGCTCTTTAATAGCAGCCATGCATGTGGTTGTGATTCACAAAGAGAGCCTAGATGCCAAAATTCACATGACGCTTCCAGACGTTTGTGCGACCTAATGTGGAGCAGACACCTGTCAGCAGAAAACTGCTGGTCAGGTTTTGACACCAAGATGTTGTGGGGACATATATAGAGTGGACATTTTATTCTATTTAACAAAATATGCGTGTATACATTGTGTCTAGAGGTCAATGGCTACCTCTGTTATTTGTTGTTCCTACAACAACTGTATATTTCCTTGGAAACCGTTTGTAGGTCCCTAACTTGTTTTTTAGTGGTCAAAGACTTCCTGACCTTCCTGTCCAGCACTGAGACCCATTGATTTTTGTTATGTTGGGATAATTATTTAAATCTTTGTTGAAAAGGTCCTACTAAGATGACCCTACATCGGGGGTCACCAACTATATTTGTCTGAGAGCCAGAATTTCTCTGGACATGTGCCTTAGAGTCATAAATGGTGGGGCTTACTGACAGTTATTTATATCTCAGTTGTTGTTTTTTTATTCAGTCTGGGGACCACACACACAAGATATTTACGTTGATCCAATTTTGAAATCCATTAGCAGGCCAGATTGGTAGACCGTACTCAACCCATGGGCCGCCTTGTTGTGATCACTGCCCTACATGGTGAATCAGTATTTGACCATACTTCTCAGCATCTATAGTAAATCTAAATATCTATCTTTTGACCATACTTCTCAGCATCTATAGTTACAAAATTTTAGATCACATCTCCAAATACAGTGATTAAAATGCAACCCCAAACCAAGACGGGGCCTTTTTTTAAATAGTCATTGATTGGGATTTTTCTCTGTGCCTACCTTTAACATACCGACAGATGATTTATCTGTCGATCAAACTGGGATTTGAGACACAGTTCATCACACTGAGACATTTGTTCTCGACCTTTTTCCATCACCATGGTGATGCAGATTGATCATGCGGCAGCTACTGTGCACATGAACCAGATTTTTAAATCTCAAGACGAAATAAAAAATGAATTGGTTTATTTTTACCTATCCCCTCATGAACGTTTTGGGGACGAGGTCTTAACTTTGCAAATATCCAATAGCAAACCTGCTGCACAACTGGTGTCTTTGCATCGCCATCAGAGGAGGGATCAGCACAAATGTGAGCTATATGTACGCGGGTGAAACACGATCTTGAGTAATTGTCGGGATAAGGCGAGGGATTGACCTCTGCCACCAACCATATTTTCTCAGACAACACACACTTGAGCAGGCTTTGAAATATACCCTCATTCTGGGACAGAAATGGACCACGAGGAAGCAGGTCGTCGACTTTTCAGTGTAACTAAACAAAACAAGTGCTAATTTAATTTGCTCACACTTTTATTCTGTGGAAAAAGATAGCGATGCTCCCCGCTCACTGATGATGTCCCTCTGCTGGCCATGACATCACACACCAGCAATGTCAGGCATCTGATTGTCTGGTCAGGTCTGGGGTGTTTCAAAACAGGCACACAAACACACACACACACACTCATGAATTCAACAAAAAAAATCTTTAATCTCAAACAAATTCCATTTATTGTAAGGTGTCCATAATTGATTAACTTGATAAGGACTATTTATGATGTTTTTTGTTTGTTTCCTGAAAATAAAATAATTATAATTACATTTATCTAAATAACCACATAAACTCATGAAGCATTATCGTCAAAGAACTCTGGAAAGAGAATTCTGAGGTCAAATATTGAAACATTTGGTAGAAGCCCAAAAACTTTACACCTGGAAAACCGTTCTGTTTTAGTCATGCAATATATGGTATTTATTCTGTCTCTAGTTACATAAAAGTCTGTAGGAATCATAACCGGCAATAAGTCAGACTTTTAAAGTTTTGATTTAAATTTAGGCCATCTCATATCTCAAATTTATGACCAAATTGTTTGATTGTTACTTTGTGTGTCAGTGACATAGTATTACATTTTGATATTTTGCTTATTTTTCAAAATATTACAGATGGGAGTCCAGACATGTTCTAGTTCCAGATCCACACATAGAGCCGCACTTATTCTGAACATCATTCAGGGCCACCATTGTTCTAGGGTTATGTAATAAATAATAAAAAAACAAGTAGGCTCTTGAGTGGTCATTACTGGCCCCAGTCACACGTCATTTATCAATGTTTTCAGGTACATTTCTAATTCTTTACAAGCCAGAGATTTTCCAGGACAGACACTGCAGGGATTAGATACTCAAATAAAATACAATAAAATAAAAATGTTTGTATCTTTTTTATTTTATGTTTACTTGGAATCCAATCCAGATTGGATGGTTCGACAGACCGGATTCAGTCCGCAGGCCACCAGTTGATCACCATGATCGAGGAACTCTTTCAAAGCAGAACCTTCATTATCAAGTGATTTGTTTTTCTACTCGTCTACTGTCCATCTGTGGACAAAGGTGTTCACGGCCAGTTCGTGTTGTGGTGACCTCTCAGAATCCTGCAGCGTTAGACCAACATTCCTTTCTACCCACATACTCCAAACTCCTGCAGCGGTCGGCCCCATCTGCCCCAGTCACTGTCCCAATGTGAGCAAATCAGACAGATGCAGTATCTGGCAGATGGCAAGCAAGGCCATGGTCAGATGGCATCCACATCACGCATGCTGTACAGCACTGATAACTGCAGCTGCGAATAATAACGACAGATTGTCATCAGGAATTGTGCTGGCTCTGCTGGCTGGAAAAGTTAGGAATTCAGTGCAGGGAAATGTCCACCCTCTATGGGTAATTGAATTTGGATCAAAGACTCACATGTCTTCAGAAAGGTCTAAAGGGCTGCTCAGTTTTTAGTAATAACAGAAACGCTTCCGGCATTGACCTCCACTGCCCTCTTCTACCTCCCTCCAACTCCCCTCTGCCCTCCACCTCAAATCCCTGCTTTGACGAGCCCACGGCAGGACTGAGTCTGGTAGTAATGGGCAAAATGAAAAATAGATTTAGAAAACTTTGGAAAACATATAGATGTTGTCAAACCTGAAAAAAAAAATGTAGCAAAAAAATGTTTTACTTGTAATTTGTTTTTAAAATGTTGACAAAATTAAAAATGTGAATTTGGAATTAAGCCAAAATTTGAATTTTTAACTTCAAAAACGCAATGGTTGTTTTATTTATTCATTTATTTTTAATTTGCCGCTAAACATATATTTCAAAAAATATATATTGTATACAGACTTTCGGCAATGTTGTAAAAACTGGTGAAAGGCTGCCACCTTGTGTTAAAATGTAAAAGGTAAATAGTGGCTCGGGGTAGTTTTAAATGACATGAAAATAAATAACACATTAAATTTTGAACTTCATATTTCTAGGATTTGTTTTTTTGATTTATCCAATTTTTCAATACTATAAACTGAAAAAATAAATCTAGAATATTAGCCAAACTTGAATGGAAACCTGTTCAAATATTTCATGTTTAGACTTCAAAATGATGTTATTTCCATAAATAAAGATGTTTTTAATGTGTCTTACAACTTTTCCACCTCATACTGTGAACACAGTATGTGATACGTTTCATTAAATGCTACATTCAGGGAAAATCACAGTCACAACAAGGATGAAGTCTGAAGTCAAGGATCTGCAACAGGAAACAAATCACTTCTTTTTGCCAGACCTACGCAGTCTTCCAAACGCAGAGAACCGAAAACCCGATTTCTCACACAAAAAGCGGCGAGTGTCTTTTTCGGCGTCCGAGTCTGGATCCACCGACGAGACGGACGTTGATGCTGAGGCCGAACGATAATGGTCCCGTGAAGCATCATCTGTGCCTCCATTACAGAGCTGCGGGGACGTCGGTGGAGACAGTGAACATGAATTGGCCCTGCCTGCTGAGGTGAGGGGCCTTGAGTGTCTTTCCTGATTTTCCTCCCTAAGCCCTTCCAGGTGGGCCTGGAATGTAGAAGTCTGCTGCTCCAGGGAGAGGAAACTCTCCTGCACTTTGTCAAACTGTAAAAAGAGAGAAAAGTTTTTATTTCCAGTGTGTTTCTAAACCCATGAAAAACATTTGACTGTTTGTCTAAGGGGCAGAATGTAGTGGACCTGCTCAATGTTGGACTGAAGTAACAGCTCGGGCCAGACAGACTCGCTGCTGCTGCTCACACTGTTACTGATGTGAGTGTGACTCCAAGTTAGCTCCTGTAAAACACACCAGTGTGAGTTCTTTAAGTAAATACAGTGAATGAAGTGTATTTGTGTCAATCACCTGCAGGATTTGGGTGACCTCTTTCAAATGAGCCTGACAGCACTGCAGCTGCCTGTTGTAGTGAACCAGCACTACAGACACTTTCTGTGCCAGAAAAAAAGAAGAGCGTTACTAACAACAAGGGCAGTCAGCACATGAGCTAACAGTTGAATTCAATTCATATATAGCTCCATTTAAATGACTGTGGAATTTAAAAAATGGCAATATCACCAATGTTGGACAAATACAGAGAATATTGATATTGAATTTGATTATTATTGAATCACATGTGTATTTGTGTATATATACATAAGGGGTCCTTGACTTTTGTTGGAGTTCCGTTCCTAAGGTGCGACATAACTTGATTTTCTACTTAAGTCGAAACAGACCTGCACCAGTACCTGTCACTCACCTACGCTAACAAGGTGGTAACATCGTAATCTAGGACATGAAAACATCAGAAGAGTCTGACTTAAGCCTGGGAGACATTATGAAGGGCGAAAAGTTTCCAAAAAAACAACACAACCGAAAGAAAGTGAATGCAGCACAATCCAATGTTTGGCGTACAACCGGCAAATGTTAACAGTGTCGCGTAATGACGTATTCATCCAACATATAGGTCTGTATATAATGTGTTTAAGTACATACTTCTGCGTCCTTATGGGCCAAGGTGAGGTCTTCCTGATCTCGACTCCCCTCCTTGGTGAGTGTGACCCCTGTGTGCAACTCCTCCAGCTGAGCCCAAAGGCCGTCCAGTCCCTCCAGCATGTCCTTCACGCTGGCCGCAAAATGACCCTGCACCTGGACCAGAGCTCGCAGTGACTTCATCCTGACGGTGGAACGCATGTTAGTCCAAACGCATTAAGTCGAAAAAACTAAAGTGTGTGTTCCAGATATTGAGCATCACCTCTGTTGTAGGTATTTGCAGATGAGCCTCACGTTCTGCATCAGCACAGAATCTTGGTTGTCCCGGTCGACCTTCGCCTCTGATGTGGCTCCCGTTGTCTCAAGTGTGAGAGACACGGACTGCACAGGAGACCGGGTTTACATTTGTGGCTTTTGAAAAGATATACAGCGCACAAGAACCTGTTGCATTTACTATCAAATATATGTAAAAAAAAAAATTCTAAGACTGCTGCTGCTGCGCTTTGCCTGAGGCTAGAATATCTACGTCTTCCTCAGTGACATGTTGGATTTCTTTCATTTTTCTGTCAAATGATTTTATTCTGCTCTACATACATGAAGTACATGGAAATAAAACCCGGAGTTGACGGCAGTAGCTGGAGGCTGCTGTGTGTAAAGTAGCCCCAGACTGTGTGTGTGTCTGTGTGTGTTCAAAGTGTGAAGGCATTTGTTCTTTTACTTTCTTGGGTTGGTTTTGAACCTCTTACCTCCAGCTTGGAGATGAGGGCTTGGACTTGGGGGATGCTGGGGTCTGGTAGAGGCTCCTGGAGCACACACAGCAACAGGCTCTTGGCCAAGGCGTGGGCCAGAGGAACATGGGGGCCAGAGCTCCTGGACGGGGGCGCCCTGGAGAAATAAGGAAATACAAGATATTATGTATGATATTGGTGGTTTGTTATTTAGGTTTCATAATCTGAAGCTATATATACAAACTATATATATATATATAGTTTATATTTGAATCATTTTCTCAACAGCATTTTTACAGGTGCAGTCAAAGTGCGTTTTTGAATTGTTTAGATTTTGTCTGTTTGAACAACACCAAGAAAATGATTTAAGAAATATTACTCCAGCACATTCTAAATGCATGCATGAGAAAAGTCATCATAGACTAGAGTCTCACCATGAATACTGCAGATTTCTGCTCTCCATCACTGTCTCCTGCCGTGTCTCCAGTAGACTCTCATCCTGGAATTGATGCACAGACAATGAATAAAATCAACATCGTTGACTGAAACAGCAATAGTTAATAGAGTGCAACTCACCTGTGTGTGTCCCAGCCGCAGGCGGTTTTTCAGGCCATGCATACAACCTGCCAGAACCAACCACAACAAACACACTAACAAGAGCTTCCAGGAAGAGCTGTGCTGTGGCGCCTCCCCTTGACACATTAACCACACTGCACCAACTGAAACAAAACTGTACCAGCTCCTCCAGAGTGGCTGTGTCCTCAGAGTCCGACTGACATCTGGAGTTTTGTCACTGGGGGAAACATTGATTCAAATTGCAGCGTTAATTGTAACAGTAGAGAGCGTAAGAAAGATGATTGAAAATGAAAGGGAACGGCGTTAAAGTGACATAAAAGAGTACGTATTCTTGTGCAAATGAAAACGTCATAGAACAAATATTACTGAAGTGTGATTTTCCATCCAATAACAGCTGAGTCCTGGTAACCAACGGAAGATCACAGACTTAAGAGGTATTCTATATATTTTTATGTTTTGTGCAAGGTTAGAACTGTTTATAGAAATAGTGAGTTATTTATTTCTAAATGGTGATTTTTATTCCTCACATATTTAACCTAAATGAGAATATGAGGTGATTCAGGGTTTTTTGTGTCAGTCCTTGGCCTAAATCCAACCTTTCAAACCAGTTTTAAGGAAATTAGTTCATTACAAAAAATGAAAACATTTCTTTGAAGGTTATTTTTACAATTAGTTGTGAGAAGAAGAAAACAGCCATAGTTTACAGTGAACAGATGCGTTGTTAGTTGATTCAGTTGACATACAGTTGTGTGTACAGTATGTACAGCACCCACCTCTGTCGTTTCTCTCTCTCTTCTTCCTTCCCCATCCATTTACATGCCACTCTCTTTCCTCCTCCGATGTCCCTCTGACCTTTGGTGTGGACGACTGTCACCTGAGGCATGGACGCAGCTCGCACGCAGACATGCTTTCAACAAATGCAGCAGAGCAATTAGCTGAACGCCACATAGGTCCAGCTTCTAAAAATGCAATCATTTCTGTTGCTAGACGAGCTTGTTGAGCTGGTTGTACAGGAAGATTGGTTTATCTGGGTAGTGGCTCGGTCTGACCAGCCAGGAATGTGTTGAACACACTGATGGTAATTGTGCAGAGGACAAGCCCTGCCCCACCCATGTACAAGGGCCGCCTCATAGCACCAGCCCTCCCAAAAACAGTATTCTGAGTCACTGACGAATGTAAACATTAGTTCTTAGCACCTGTCAAAGCCACATATTAGTTTTTATTGACTTTTTTTTTAACTTGTAGTGAAAACAATTCTCCTAGCAAAAATTCAGTAGAAAATTGTCAATTAGTAATAGGTTATTTTGGTCTGTGGACTATGTGGTGAAAAAGTAGAGGCAGAGTCAGATGGTTTTAGATCGTCCTTGGCTTTTTTTTTTATTTCAACAGATACAAATTTGGCAAATCTTAGTTGTTATAAGCCTATAGATTATATTAAGTTAAATAACTTTGAGACCTTTAGTAGAGTGGAGTTGTTACATCTTGCAAAGGTCAACAACATTATGTTTGCTGAGAAAAAGAGAATGACTAAAAAACATGATAAGATCAGCTTTTTTTAATCCGGGTGATGTATGTGCAAGACATGTCAAAGAGGTCAGGAAGAGCAGCAGCAGCATGGATGCATACTACGCAAAAGAACACACAACAGATTCACAGTAACATGTTTAGCCTGGTTGTTAAGATGGTACGAACATGATTTCTATAGGAAGTCCATAACTGTACAACAACGTAAAATGTAAGTTATCATAATATGCACATTTAACAGTCCTCTGCATGATTACAATGATAAGCATATCAACTGTAGCGTTCCATTATTCATAAAATGTGAAGCTCCGTTAAAATAAATCCAGAAAAGTATTTGACAAATGTTTATATATCAAAGTATTTTCTCCCCACTAACATACAGACACATAAAACTGTGTTTGTCCCCCTGACCTTTCTACTGGTAGTAATATATGTAAAAAAAAAATTAAATTATACAGTATTTTGTCACATTGTAAGTGTACAAGCTTGTGAGGTCTACATGCAGGATCAGTCTCCCTGAGTTCTCCCCAGTCCACTTCAGGGTTTTGTGATGTGAACTTCACTTGCACCATTGCCGTTGGTTGTTGTGGTGATAATGTACTGGGTGGTGGCTTGCTGACCACTAGGTTCTTGTTCCAGATGCTCAGTATGGGTCGGGTTTGTGCTTTGAGGAACAGGTGGTTTGGTCTCCAGCTCAGTCTGACCCTCGGAAATAACGTAGTGAGTCTGACGGCACAGAGATATTAAAATGGTTAACACTTCTCAGTTGATGGACAAATGGTAGATCATTAATAAGAAACAGACACAGCCATCTGGTAGCTAACTACAACATAATTGTCTCCTTTCACATTTAGTATTATATACAAATGTGTTGAAAATCATTTTTATCTATCATCATTTTATCAACTATCAGATATCAGAACTCACTGTTTTGACTTGATTGCTGTTGACTCCAGACACTGGAGTGCTTGCCTCCGTTATCACATACTGAGCGTGAGGTAGAGTCATCATTTGGATTTCAGAGGCTAGAATTACAACAACAAAGTGATTTATTTTATTTGCAAACAAAATATGTGGACCAATCTAATTAGATTATGTTAGAGAGGCAGAACTTACGGTAACCTCTATAGTTCCAATTTCCAGGTATGTATGCATGCTGACCCGTCCCCTGTTGCTGCACAGCACCACTGGACTGCAGGGTGTGGCTTGAAGCTAAAGTGACTGGAGTCAACTGTGATGGGCTCAGCTCCTGACTGGTCTGCTGGGAGGTAGGACTGAGTGGTTGTCCAGTCACCTGAAACATGGTGGTTTAATTATTCTTCACCTGCACATAAAAATCCCTGGTGAAAGCTTAAAATCTGTCAGGAACAGAAAACACAGTTGGAGTGATGAGGACAGACCTGGGCAGTGGCTTGTCCGTTGCCCGACGGCTCGGTGACTTGGATGTGTTGAACCTGGATGGAGTGCTGACTGTAGCCGTGAGGGTCATGCAGCTGATTCACATCGACGGTCGGGTGCTGTGAATGTGGGGAGGAAGCCTGGGAAATGTAGGAGATATCAAAGTGGGAAAACTGTGACCTTGAGGCAAGTTGTTAAAGTTCACAATTATTACGGATGCACACATGGATACACACACATATAGATACAGAGACTGCAGAACTTACCGGAGCCACTTGCACCACCTGCAGTTGTATGTGGGACTGGGGCAGGTTGCCTCCAGCCTGAGAGACAGGGATGTACTGAATCCTCTGGTAGTCTCCCTGTGCTGTCCTGTAGTCTGTGGTGAGTGTTTGAGAAAGCTCCGTCATGGCCTGTGTCAGTAGGTCAGTTGTCTGAAGATAAAATGAATTAGGCACAGTTGTAGTTTCTGGCAAAACTCAAGTGACACTATCTTTAAAACAATCACCACATAAGAACTGCATTTTGGGTGTAGGCCTTCAACTGTATATACATCCTGAAAAAAATACTTTTTTTAGACTTGAAGTCCAAAGTTTGATGATCAGCAAAAATTTGAGTAAGGGGATGAAATGAAACAATTCTAAAGCTCAGTGATCATAGAGATGTTGTCTACAGTTGGGAAGAAAAGGACAGGAATTTAACATAAAGAACACCATCCCCACAGTTAAACATGTATGTTACAGTCTTCCTCACCACCACAGCTTCTGCTGAGGTCCCATCTGTACTGATGACTGCAGGGGCGCTGCTGATCACCGCTGCAGCTAACGGAGTCGGGATCGTGTTGGTGAGCTGTGCGAACTCTGGATGTTTCTTCCTGATGTGTTGAACCATTTTTGTCTGTGATACAAACAGACATTTATAAGACTAAGCATTTAACTTTCATTAAATTTATACATACACTATCCAATCTATTACATAACTTATTGACTACATCTCTAACCTTGCTGCTGTACTGCTTGGCACAGTGTGGGCAGCAAACAGGCGCGGTGGCAATGGTGCCTGTCAGCTGCGTGTGTGTGCTTAACATGGGGTCTGGTTCCCCAGGAGCCGCAGGTCGTAGTTTACGGATGCTTGGAGGCAACTCTGAGCCTGGGTGGTTTTTCAGGATATGGGCTTTTCTCTTGCTGGCACTCTTATAGACCTTTTGGAGAAATCAGAATACTCTACATTAGAAAGACAAAACACACTAAAGACTGGTCTCCTCCCTGAAGAAGAAATAGAGGAAAACGTACCTTATCACAATACTGGCAGAAATAATCCCTGTTGGGCTTGATAATTGGCAGCGTAAGCTCAGGCACATCATCAATGCGCATATCCGGATGGCGTTTGGACAAATGATTCACCTGTGACCAGAGAAATAATACTTTACAAATGTTCTTTACTAGTCATTCTCACTAAAATGTGCAAGTTGTTGCTCACCAACATTCCTCTGCGTCTAAATCCCATCATGCATAACCTGCATTTGAACATGAAGCTCTCCAAGTCAGTGTTGGGAACCTTCATCTTCAGGGTTTTGGATCGTTGGATCCGGTCTGCTTTTTTGGCCTCTCTGTCAGGATTGTGCATGCGCTGCATGTGCTCACGGAGCTTATCTTTCCTCTTAACACAACAGGAACGTTGAGGTCACGTGATGTGACATAAAACTTTAAAATTAATACACTGCCATGTGCCATTTCATCTTACCTTGAATTGTTTGCCACATGTTGAGCAAAGGAAATCTTTGCGGTCCGAGTGACGTAACATGTGCAAACGCAGTTTGTCCGGACGACAGAAGGCTTTCTCACAGTTAGAACACTGGAACGCTTTCTCTGCATGGAAGCAGCGAATGTGTTTCTTTACCTGAGGATGAGAATAATTTATTATTATTTTAAACAAAGCAGATTAAAATATTACAATATTATTTAGGAACTACTCTTATTTCTACTTTTTTCACTTCAGACCTCAGTTGAGATTCACGCCACAGATCTCCTTGTAATAAAATGACCAATGTCTCTCATGTACAGTTTCATTTATTTTCCTTTGAGAGTTTCCTTGAAGCCTTATTAAAATAAACTAATAATAAATAAATAATATATAAATATGTTGCTTTGTGTTAATACTGATGAAACTAGCTTCAAATTACTTCATTTTCAGCCGTGAGTGAAACAAATCACTCCTTGCTATCAGATGACTTAGAATGGATGTAAACACACCCAGGACAAACCTGAATAAAGTCTGTAAATGTCTTTTCGCAGGAGGGACAGGTGAAGCACCCGTCCACAGCGTGCACTCCTATGTGATCTTTGAGCAGCTCCAGTTTCTCAAAGCTTTCCTGACACAGAAGACATGGGTAGGAGCGGCTGTCTGTGTGCATCAGCAGGTGGTCTTCCAGGGCCGTGTCGCTTACGAAGCTCTTGCTGCAGATGTGGCAGGAAAAAGTGTAGGCGTCACGACCATGAACTCGCAGATGCTGTTCCAGTTTGTCTTTGTCCCGGAAGGCTTTTCCACAGTGAGTGCATTTGAAAGGACGAAAGCTCTTCCTGATAAAAAGGTGCTGGAGTGCGGCATTCTGAGATAGAAGAGAGACGATAATAGACAACAGAGGTTACGTCGCTAATCTACTGAAGCTTCTAAGCCGTTTAACACTCATTTCAAACGATTCCTCAGGTGATTTTCAATATTCGGATTTGAAAAAGGAGGAATTATACTAAATGTAACTTTGATCACATTTATCAGGGGGAACTCTTTCTGCCTACTTTTCCCATTCTTCATACCTGCGCATCCATCTGTGAGGATTGTAAGCATTAAGAAGAAAAGACAGAAGGTGAAGGTGAAGCATGTCGAATCTTAAACAACACCTCCACAGACTACATGCATCAGAATCTGTCTTACCCGTATTCTTTTGGCACGGCGCATGTCTTTAGAGGTCAGGTGGACATCATAATGACTGCTCTGTCCCGGGTCCTCCTTTACTGGAACTAAAATGTCTGTGTTGGAGGGGGGAGTGACTGACTCAGGGTCTGGTTCCCCTGCAGAAGGTATTAGCTGAGCCTCCACCTCTGTCCCGTCCTCAGCCTCTAGCTCTATCTCCATTTCCTTTAGGCCATTCTGGGTGGCCTCCACATGATCCTCCAGTGGCTGCTTGTCTGCTAGCTCCAGCATCTCCTAATTGGAAAAAATTGTACAGAGAATATTGATTTTATTTTCTTTTAACCAGAAGAGTTGTTGCTATGATTGCTTCTAGCTCGTATGTTGAAATTGATTTATAAAATTTATTCTACATTATTTTGAGGTTTAGATTAATAAATAGGATCCAAAAAAAACCTTCTTACCGCCTTCCCCTCTCCGGCATCCATGGGTGGATTCAAAAGTATAAATTTCGGTGGCCGTCCAGGTCGCCTCCCTGCCGCAAATCTCTTTCTCCCTCTTCCTCGACTTCGACTCCGAGATCTGACAAAACAATTTAAGGTGCTATGGTTACAGAGGCTCCTACTGCACTGGTGTTAGTTATTAGGAAATAGTGGCAAGTTCACAAACAAATTGTTTACCTGGTCAGAGAGTTTAATTTGTCATCGTGCATGTTGAGATGCTCCTGTAATTGTTCAGAGCTCGCAAATCGACAGTTACATTCATAACAAGGCCAGTTCTTCTCCTGCTCATTTAGCACTAAAGTAAAAAAAAATGTAAGAACCAGAAAAATAAGACCAGCAGTTTAATACACCTACTACTAGTACTATAACGTAGTAGATTGTATTACAATTATAAAGGGAAGTATGAGAGGAGTTGAGGCATATTTCTCACATTTCTTTTCTTCTTCTGTGACATCGTGGATCTTCTGATTGGCAAACTCAGCATATGATGCTGCATACCAAACCTGTAGAAAGAAATGTTAAATTTGGTACCAGGGGTTATACATGTGATGTTTTGGTGATCTAAGCATCTGCATATTACTGACCTTGAGTTCTTGTTTGGGTTGGATGTTCTTGATGGTTGTGTAAAAGATCTCTGAACCGTACTGATAGGCAACCAGGTTCTGCTCCAGGTGGTTCTGAGCAGGTCTTACAAACATCATCCAGTTACAGCTCTCCTCATCGGAAAGGTCAAACCACATGTCACTGGGTTTGTCTCCATCTTTCTCTGCATCCAGCAAACTCAACTACAGAGGAAAATCAGGACAAAATGTAAAGCAAAAACAATTCAAAACAAAAGTTCAACTTGGTCTAATCATGCTGATTGTAAAAATGAACTTTTCATAATCAAATTTATATTTGAAAATGCTGTAGAAACTAATCATTTAAAAAGAAAAAAACATTTTTATCTAATAAGTTTGACTTCAGTGTATATGTAGTCTTTTTTATAATGCCAGTGGAAGTGATTTTAAAAAATCCTGATTAAAAAAGACGATTTAGTTCAATTTGCAGAGTTTTTTTTTTATTATCACAAGCTATACACATTTTTGTTGTTTAGTTCAACAATTTGAATTATGTAAAAAAGTATTTTAAACAAATAAAAATAAATATTCAGATCTTTACTTTGAGATGCATGTAGTGATCCTGAAGTTCACTCTGAGGAACCAAGGGTCCTTCCACTGGGCCAAACTGTGTACGTTTGGGGATGCGTTTCTTGGAAAACACTCCTCCCATAAAGTAATCAATGTAGAGGACCAGAGGCAGGCTGGCCCGTGCCTTGGACATCACTGGTCTGTTGGGTACTGGGTGGAGGGCCCCATGTTTAAGACAGACTGAGGGGTTGGCATCATTACAGTCCTCACACCCTAAGAGGGGGCACAAAGGAAGAGACTGTTTAGTCAATGAGTACAAATGTTTGTTTTTATTTGAAAAAGTTCTCAGTCCAAAACAACAAAGTAGCCTACACAGCCTATAGAAAATACGTGCTCTTCAGTGAAAGTGTTACTCATGCTTTCCATCATGTTCTGTCAGCTCTGCAGGAGTCATAACAATAAAATCACAGAGAAAAACACTGAGATTAGGAGACAACACTTACAGAGGTGGAGAGGGTTGAACGACTGAGGCTGACATGTTTCCCAGTCGTCAATTTCAGAGTCTTCCTCTTCATCAGAATCGTCTGTGGAATCTGTTGCTCCGAGGGGACTAGAGGGGGTCTCTGTGATTTCTGCCATAGAAGTCAGTGAGTTGGACACAGAAATCTGCTCCTGTGTTTAGATTAAAGAAAAGAAAGGAAAATGTCTAAATAACAATAATAAAGAAACTGTTTGATTGAAAATGCAGGTGATGCTGTATGTATTGTACGTATTACAATTAGTTAACAATTGCACACACTATTTGTTTGTACCTGGGGAACCGTCTCCAGAACAGCTTGAGGTGCTTTGGCCACATTACTGAGAACATGCAGGTTGGCAGCATTCATGTTCTGTCCACTAGGCAACAGAACTGTCACCTGTGAATGAAGGAAATTTGTCGTCTTCAAAGCTCTGTAAAAACAATAGGATGAGCTTTTAGGCTGCTTGAGGTGGGTTTACCTGCTGAGTCGTGCCGTCCCGCTGTATGTAAGCCACTTGAGGCTGATCAGCAAGAACAGTCTGAAAGAACAACAACACATATTGTGAAGTGTTGGTGTCAGGTTTTTATGCAGTGTTCATCCAATCCAAGTATTAAAAATGTCACAAAGTAGAAAAGAAAAAACTGAAAAAAGAAAACTGTTGTTACATGTAAGTGTACTTACTTGTGTGCCATCTGCAGGGTGAATATAAACCAGGGTATGCTCTGCAGACTCCACAGAGGCAAAGGAGTTCCCATCTGCTGTGTAAACCACCTGCTGCTGTGCTCTGTCTGCCTGGTCTCCACTGTACACAATCTGTGCCACGGTGCTGCCTTCAAAGTGCACCTGAAACAGGTATACAGGCCAAAGAGGCTTTGAAACAGCTGTGGCAAAATTATAATCACAGACTGTGACTCACTAAAATGTGACTATACACACTTAAAATTAAATGATAATAGATACATATTTTATTTACTCAAGGAAGACATTATTATTGAGTGTTTGTACCCTGTTTGCATGTGTGGCCCCCAGACTCAATGTTGAAAACACAACGCTGAGTTTGCAGAGCACAGAAATGTGTAGCTCTATAATGCTGGGAACTTGAAAGGCCGAACTAAAGGGAATATGTTTCGGAAATGTAGCAGTACCTGTTTCAGGGAAGCCAACATGTTTAATGGTCTAGGATTGTGTGTTGTAAAAGGTGCTCTAAAAGTGAGTTTAAAGACGAATGGTCAGACCTGTGTGGTGTTGTTCGAGTCCTCATCAGTGGGCTGACTCCAGACAGCAGAGTCTTCTTGCTTAGTCTCCATGGCAGGTCAATAACAGGAGTCACCTGCAGACTCTCTGTCTGGTAAGATAGAGGAATTTACTTGTTATCAGCATGACTGAGAAGAGGCATTAGATAATAAGATTTAAAGAGTTGTGCGTAACTGAAGAACCATAATTATTGTTTGGGAAAATCCATAGACCACTTTAGTTTATTAATAAGATACAACCAGGTCTTGGGCTGTAGGGACTAAATATAAACATGTCTGACCATCTCCTCTTATGTGAAATCAGTCCTTTCTGAGCAGATGTAAAAACAATAAGAAACAAGACATCAAATGCCATCGACAAACTCATTGCATTTGATAGGTTTTTACCACAAATGACTCAAAACCAAAATTGTAATTTATGACATCATTATTATTATCATCATTATTATTACTCAATGTATTTGGATAAGGTTTATAGATTAGGGTTGCCTGTTTTCGTTCTGTTTAAAGTGGTCTACCATCAAAAGAGGTAAGACTGTAAATATTTCGAAAACATACTAAAAGTATATAGTACGTGTTCTGTCCCTTGACTCTGTAACTATAAGGTTGAAGACGTTTTAAAGTTAGAGAGAGAAAAAAATCAAACCTAGATGGATATGGTATAAAGATTGGAAATAATAGAAACAAGTGTATTTAATAACTTTGTGTAGAATGTATGTACATAGAACAATGACTTGAGATTCATATAAAAACAAGCTATTTACAGAAAACAGCGTTTAACAATCCCTGTATTATCAAAAAAAATAGGAATTTAAGTAAAATAGTTTTCTTTGTTCTTAGAAAAGCAAACACACCGGTCTTTAAGGTAATTTTGTTAGGAGTTTGGAGATGCTGCTTTGATTTTTTTAAGATTTGACATCCTGTGGTAGAATTTTAGGTCTACACTCGTCCTTGTACATCAAAATAAAGCAGCGTGACACCGTAGCACACATGTCGGTCACATAGGACTTTGACAGCGGGGGTAAGAAGGGCAAGGCGGTCGATGTGTATTAAAGAGGCCGCAAGGACAATGGTGCCTTGGGAAAAACCGCATATCCACTCCATAGTCGTCAACGAAAATAAGACCCCACCAACTTACACAGAACACGAGTTGGTATATTCAAATAATAATTTCAACTCCCCCTGTTTTAACCCCGCAAGTTCTCGGTCCCAACCGGACCATACCACAAAAAACATCGCCGCGAATTCCCGGGCATCTGCTACGCTACTGCTTTAGCTCTACAGCCATTTAGCCTATATGTAACAGCTAGCGAACAGACAGGGAATGGTTAGCAAACCCTAATACGCCCGCTAAATTGTGCTTTTTTGACTAAAGTGGGTTTCGGGTGTTGAAGACCCAAATTATTGGGATCGATCCACCCGTCTCCCGATTTCAGTTGGGCCCAGCCCTTCAATTCTGCCGTGTATAGGAAAGACCGGGCTCCATTTTGGGTGGGACTAACAACAACAACCAGAAGCGAAGAGACCAAGCGAAAATATATATATTTAACACACCCATAGAGAGACTAAAACCACCCGCTTGATGAATTGATGTTATCGAGTAGGTATCATAGAAGTCGAGCTATAGAAAAATGTTTGAGGTTATACCTGGGTTTGTAATATTTTGTAAAAGACGTACAGGTTGTTCTTACCTCAGAATGGTAGCTGCAGAGATGGTCGCGTTGCATGTATTAACATAATCTGCCCGGCAACAAGGCCGTAGCCTGGTCTCTGATTTGTTGATTTTCTAAAGAACAAAAACGTTGGATATTTTAAAGATTAAAACATAATAGCTCTTGTATCAAAGTTCTGGGAGTATATATTAATAACCAAGACATTTTCATTATTTAAAATGATTCTACATGCAGAGTCTTGAGCGACAGTATTGTAATCTTTCGTAAATTGTCACTGAATGAGACATCACTTTACTGCCCTCCACTGGTCTAGAACGTCGAAATTAAAATTTACATTGACATGTTAGGTCTTTAACTTCCGGTTACTGTTGAAAGATATTGCAAAAAAAATGTTAATAATGGGGAAAGTATTAAAAGGCACACTGTAATGGATTGCGTAAACATTGTAATTGGAACGTTTGACGTATAGTTTGACGAAATAATTTATTGTCTGAGAATAATGATGGGAATAATACACCAGAACCGGAAATCCCTCATTAGACCTTCAAAGTAAAATGGCACAGATATGGATTCCGTTTTATTTTGTTTTTATTGTTCTTATTATTTATATTTTTCACACTTAATAATAGTAATAGTAATAAATAGTGATTCAACTTTCCAAAATGCATTATTATGTTTTATTTTTATTTACATATACAGTCATTACGTATTCTGTCTCCTCCGACTCTATGAAACAAAATCAGTTATTTATCCTCCAGAAAAAACTTTAGAATTTCATGTTATATTGCGTTTAGAAACTTATGTAGGTTATGAAGATATGTACCTTTTTTGCCAAAATAAATATTGAATTTGATTGATTTTTCAGTTACAGTTCCTCTAACCTAAGCAGTGGTCACCTAATACACAATTAATTGTATTAGGTGATTTACAAATTAAAGACAAGATTTGTGTTTTCCCAATAATGAAAAGAATATAAATTTTAAACTTTTGTTACCTAAGGCAGTTTTACTTGCATATTTGGGATTGAAATGCCTTTCAAGATAAGAATCAGTATGTGCAGATTAATCTTATTTTAACTCATAATGGCTGGTGTTTTGAAATTAATAAGGACTCCTAATGTTCTGCTGGAGGCAAAAATTAAATTTACATGATGCTTCCATTTTTCCCATCACCCACAAGAGAAAGACTAATGAGCCATCAAGGAACAACATTATGAGCCAAGGGGGAGGAGGCATCCAATCACAGCATACTTATTATAGTGTGAGTACAAAAATCATAAATTACAGCTACAGTTCATATCTATATCAATGCTATTAATGAATACACTTTAAATCCCATCAAAAATCCTCTGTCACCCATTAGCAGTCAAGACATCATCTTGTCATTGTATCCTCTCATCTGGTCAGCATTATACTTTCAGAACTCAAGATTGGATACAAAGCTGAACCACATTTGAGTACCCTTCCATTAGTAAAGAAAAAGTAGCTACCACATTTGGCACAGACCATTTGCCCCGTTCAAACATATTTTCTCTTTGTACCAATGTAGCCCATTTTACATGCAGATGAATGGTTGTTGCGTGAAGCATGATTGAAAAGAAAAAAATTAACAGAAAAACAGTGATATTTAATATTAAGTACTTGTTTAATCCCTACTCCTATTACTATATCTGCTGCACAATGTTGCGCGCATTTGAGTTAATAGCATTTTGGAGAATCTATTGTCATTGCCGACTTCTAAAGTTTACAAAACACTCCTAACATTTACAGTATGTAAAAACCTCTTTTTAAGCTCACCATAGCTCTGTGTGGAGTTGTCACATCAATACTTACTCCCACTGCTCCTGTAAGCCTGACACACTCGCTGGGAAAAACAAATTGATCAATCACAGAATGCACCAGTCCACCTCAGGTTTTTGACAAAATGCAATCATCAATCGTGAAACCAGCAAATCATGTGTACAGCCGCATATACTGCAGAACACTGCATATCCTTCTTCCTACTGTAAGTACAACCAGCAGTACAACTTAGTAAAGCCACTGCACAGTCATTTTCTATGAATAGCTGTAAAACACTGATCCTACTGCACTGAACTACCACAGTAAAATGTCACATAAATGTGGCATGACACTGAACAAAAAAGGGTGGCTATTAGAAGGAAACATATAGAGATGGGTGAGGTTTCTGACGACTGTTATCTCAGGTACTAATATTTTGATGCACATAAGGCACTGACCTCATGTTTGACACAGTTAAACGTTAGTGACAATGCACAGATGGTGAGTGATGATCAAAACCAAGCACATTAGCTTTAAAGTTTTAATTGCTAAATTTGCATAGTATATATGTACGAGACTTCTATGTTTTTTTGTACTTGTAGACATATAAAAGTACAAACAGATGTGGCATAGGTGTGATATGGTGTATTATCTATCAGGAAGTTCAATGATCATATGTTGCATATGTCTTTATTTGTGGCACACATTATTTGGACTTGACAAAAGTAATTTTTGTGAAAACAAATCTTCAAATCAGTTCCTACTTTTATTGTACATTATATTTTATTACAAACGGGAGGAGGGTAAACACACCTCATTTGTGGATAAACAGACACTTTCAGCTCCGAGGAAACAATCAGTGTGTCATCTCTTTTCCTGGGATTTGCCGCATCAGATAACACAGGACTGAGTGAAGCACAAAGGTAATAAAACCGAGTGAGTGCAGGGAAACAAATACAGGGTATATGTACAGTCAAAACTGAAGATCAAGAAAACTTGTCAGTGAGTCAGAGTGTATACACAAACAAGAGGGCAGAACACAGATGGGGGTAGGTGCTGGTGATAAATGTTTTTAAACTATCTTTTGTAGATCTTGAATTTATGTGAATTTATGTAATTTTACCTACAATAAATAATAATATACCTAAAAGACTTTAGAGACGTTATTGTCATTCATATCTACACAAACTGTTTTTTCCTTGGGAAGAGATTTGGATGCAATGACTTAACAGTGCAACAGGGCTGTAAATAAAATAAACAGGATATTACATGGAAATAACATTCTAAATAAACAGGAAATTACATTTTAAATAATAAATAAACCTGACTATGGAAATACTCATTATAGTTACAGAATGGTGATATATAACTTTAGAGGTCCAGAGGTGTGAGCTGATCATGTGATATATAACTTTAGAGGTCCAGAGGCTGATCAGGCTATATTTGCACATGTCGTAACTGATTAAGAACAAATCAAATTCCATTATTATTCACTGTTGTATTTGGTTTGAGTTCAGGAGCCTGATGAACATTGATTGAAAGTTGTTGTGCTGTAGAATCTGGTGGTTCTGCCCCACAGGCTGCAGAGCATCTTCCCAGAGACTAGCATGTTTAAATGGCCAAATGTTTTTACAGCTCGTGGTAGAAAATTGCATCTTTAGTGGAAACCTAACTAGCACATACCGATCCAGATGTTATAGAACTCATGGTTTGGGCAAAGGACGGATGGATGTTGGATATGACCACCCGGTGGCGTTGTTTGCCTCCATTTGGATCACATGGATTAACCACCCGGTGTGAGTGCAGGGGGAGGTGACAGCAGAGGCAGAACTATCTCACCGCAGACACAGAAGCACATTTCACTTCTACGGCAGACCAACACTCTCAGTCCAGCCCTCGCAGCATTCTCAGCCGGCCTCGGAAAACAAAAACAGCGGTGCAGGACGCGTCCCGTTCTCCGGGATCACACAATTCCGCGCAGGAATTGGTTTGCTTTTTTTTTAATTCTACGGAACGTCTCCCCACCTTAGCACATATCTCTCAGAGAGGGGATACAAGTTGTTTACAGTAGCATAATCCTGAAAGATGGGTTCATTCCCAGCGATAACTGCCCTCGTCCTGGGCATTGTGGTTCCAGCGCTGTCTGGATACATAGAGGTATGTGATCTGATTTTTTTTACTCCTTCAGTATGGTTCCGGATCTGATTTGTGGTTTTAACCCTAAAACCTGCGTGGTCTCTGTTTTTAGTACTACATCAGGTATTTGCGGGTGCGCTCGACCACAGAATTATACACATTATCACGTCACGTGACAGTGAAATGTGGCGATAAAGCGTTGATTTCAGACTAGAATCAGACACAAGTAACTGAATTGGTGTTGTTTTTCTTTTCTATGGATGTTATAAATATCGTGTTGGTATATTTTATTTGCCAACCGTATTTACGTTTTACCGTTTGTTATAATTAATACTCAACATAATTTATACATCAAATAAAACAATCATTTTTTAGAACCGCAACAGTCGCTCATTTGACCTCGTTTTCAGTAGAACCTTATTGTGTTATGCTTATCGCACAATTTTATTGTTATTTATTTATCTATTGTATTATTTTACAGTTTTTGTAGTATTTTCCTGGTTTTAGAAGAAGCACTGCTTAGTTTTTCACCCTTCAACAATAAAATCAGCCTTAGTCTACTTCTATGTTATTTACAGCACTAGTCATAGGTCGGAGAGCAAAGTCTAATTATGTCTGAACTGGGGCGTCACTCAAAGTTACAAATATTATTTGTGTTTAATAGATAAATAATGAAAAAAACTTCTGAAACTGCCATAATATTGACTCCTGTATCATAATTCTAATTATTTGGATTTGTCCAGAAAACAAAGATTTCCCAGTTGTTATTTAAGAAAAACAGAGACCTATTCAGATAATAATGAAGAACCAAACAAAAGTTTCAAAAAAGTCAATTATGTGATGTAATTGAATTTATCTGTGGTTCATGCAGTCGTACTTGAATGTTATAAAGTTTGTTGCTGCAAGAATTCCATATTGAATATAACAACATGGTTTTTGAATTGTTGTGTAGACAAACAGTCATCAATGTGTGTCTGGAAACATTGCCTATTGTCAGGCCACTCAAGGATACACAGAAACTCATGACGTTATTCCATGTTATTCTTAGATGTTGTTAAGGACTATGGTCAGATGGATATGGGTTGAAGTTTTTGAAGACATGTTACATTTCAACCACGGGATTTACTTGAGTGATATGAAAATCTGTAGGCCACGTCATGAAGTTTCTCTAGTTATGTGAAGAACATAACTAGTTGCCTATTTCTAAACTCTACATAAATAACTGGGATGAAAAATAACCCGGACAACTAGCCATTTGTCATGTGTATTGCAAACAAAGCATATCAAAAGTTAAATATCCCTCCAATTACAGTTTGTCTGCAGTACTCTTGTGTTGGTTATGTCAAACTTTGACAGGCTGTATTGACACAAAAACAATCGATTGGCTCCAATAGTACCATCATTTTGGCTTTTGCTTCTACACATGCATCTTCCCAATTTTCTATCCCTGTTATTGTCCTCTTACAGCCATGTCTGCAGTATCAGGTATGTGTCACCATTCACACATTTTTGCAGCCAACTGCCCTTTATAGGGTAAACACAAGTGTTCATGCTCACTGTGAAAACAGCTGCAGCAAAACATTTTAACAAGACATCTCCTGGCCGTGCTGCATGCTGTGCAAAGTTGTTATCAGGAGCATTTGTCTTGGGTTTCCATTCGGCACACTCATACGCACCACCAGAAACTCAGCCATTTTGGGTCAGTAATGGCTGACATTGTGTGTGGTGAAATTATGATTATTATTTCCCCACCAAAAGATCCATGCTGCTGCACTCGTTCTGTCCATAAGACCTAGCCCGACTTGCTTCAGTCTGCCTCTGCCGCTGCACAGACTTTTGGATCAATAGCACGCAGACTCCTGAGATGATTAATGGACGGAATCGATACATTTTCTGATCAAATTAAAATGATAAAACGTGTGCACATGACAGGATTTCACTGCTTTATTCACCGACTCTGCTGAAGGACCGGTCATTTTAATAGCAGTAAAATGTGTTGTGCACACAATATGGATCGTCAGAGCTGACTCATTTTTATCTCGTCTGATGCTCAAACAAATTAAACTTTGGGCTGAAGTCACAGAAAACAAACCTTTCGTCTGCAGCTGCACCAGATATATTAATGTGTTTGAGTCACAGTACAAACAGCTTAAGTTTATAGAAAACAGTGTCATGTTACAGCTCCTTTTAAATGCTACATTCACAGTCATATTAACAGAGTTCATCAAATGAAACGTTCTTAATGGAATCCTGTTGCTATTCCAGTGTAGTTCCTATTGTTTGAACCACGTCAAGCCTCCGCCTCTTGAAAGAGCCCACTGTCCACAGTTGGCTGTTGTTGTTTTTTTTATTTCGTGAATGTGGCAGTGGTAATGCACAGACCGTCCCCTCTGAGCTCGTGAAAACACTGCCAAGGTAGATATTGCTTTGCTGACATGTTTGAATGCATTCACTCCCCTTGGACCTTGAGCTTGAATTTACGGTGGGACTGCAGGGCCACATCAACTCTGCTTCACTGTTGGTCAGAGATGGTTTATTTCCATTCCTTTACCTTGTCCATCTCAGTGGTTCATTAGTCCTTTGTGAGTACTTTGTTGTAGAGGTATTACCAAAGAGAGCCACACTCTTACTCTGCAGTTCTTCTATGGAATGCACTAAGAATTTGATGTAGCTGTTGAGTTCCCAAAGAGTACAATATATATATTCTTTAATTTTGAATTGTTTATCACTTACACTTCTTTCTTTATGTCATAACTGAATCAATTTCTTCGGTCTGAGTCATGCTTTGGTTTTGGAGTAGTTTAAGCTCTTGCAATAAGTATGAAAATTCCGGTGTGAAGTTGAAAAACTTGTCTTTAGGATGATTGAACCAGGGCATCCACATACATGCAAAACAGATTTCATAGACAAAACGACTCATGACTCGAGAACTGGCATTTTGTATTACGCAACTACTTCAGCTGTGTACACAGTTTTGTTTTATTTTGTCAAATACCTGTGAAAGTGCCAGATAGTGACCTTTTGTTTCCCCAGCTGTGTCCCCTCCCCTATTGCAGCATCTTTGTGTCATAGGTTTTACAGTCTGCACTGGTTTGAAAAGGGGTTTCTGCCCAGTGATTTATCACTTGACTCTATGTGGCATGCCCTATAAATTTTATACCAGCCTGCACCCTGGTTTTATTTGACTCTCTTTCACTCACTTCCCTGAGTGACCAGCTGTATCCAGTGGAAACACAAGGCACAGCCTAGAACCACAAAGGAGCCTGAGCCTAGCAAGAGAATTTCATCACACTAAGAATACGTAATATATGGAACAAGTTAATGGATTTATCACAATTTCCTCCCGCTCCTTGGAGCCAACATATAACATAACTACAGCTGTGATTCATAGTGTTTAACAGTTTTGTGTGTGATTTTTTTTGTCTCTGCCACATAATAAAAGAGAGGTTTCCCTTTGAGTTGGCCTACTATGTCAGACATATCCTCAAACATTAATAATTCAAGTTCATGGGATCCAAGGCAAGATTGAGCTTTGATTTTACAGAGAGGATTTGCATGTGAATGTGGTTGCAGGGGAGTGGACATCCAGCCCACAGACACGCAGCTGCTGGATACTGGATCACAAGAGGAGTGAAAACTTGCCTTAAAAATTAATTAAGTGCGATCACTGCTATTTAGCTTAATGCATTTTTAGCAGTGCTTTATTGTGTTTGCTATTTGGTAAAAAACAAACAAACTTTGCTTCATCATGTTTAATTGTTTGTATTCACTGTACATATGGAAAGATGATGAATGACTGCTAGTCTAAACAATAGCTTGGCTGCAAGTATCGGGGTAATTGCTACAGATGTAGGCAATGCTAAATGGCTCCTTGTGAGGGCCTTCTGTTTACTTCTGAATAGCCAAGACAAGTTGAGATGCAATTACCATGCCTTGATCAAGATGTCAGGAATAGGCACATACCTGATGACCCTCATTACCTAAGGGCAACACCCATTTGATAGGGATCTTTGGACACATTGTTATGAGTAGTGGTACACAGCACGGTACTTCTCCCTCCTCTTGAGTCAACAAAAAAAAACCCCTCCTTGACCTCCACCTTCTACTGTGTCAATCAAGATGAAGGCAGCAGCATGTGCCTCACTAGGCTGGGAATCAGCCTGGCTTGCCCTTGAATTTGTAGATTAGCGCCTAAAACTTTGCTTTGAATTGTCGGGACAGCCCCTGTATCCCTGTCAATCCTCTTAGCAACAAGAAACACCGGGTGCTTATAGATCTGCAGAGGGGAAGGGACTAATCCCAGAGCGAAACCCCTCGCTGTCAGCTCACAGCCTTGTACTCACCCTGTTTATTCTTCCATTCAGCCACTAACTCAGTCAAGCCCTCATTTTCACACCCGGCAGAGGCAAACCAAAATTTAGAAGTGCTGCAGATCAGTCCGAGTCACACGTGTGCAGTTTTGGTGTAAAGTGCAATGTGTCACGTGTGCTATGACAAACAAAATAAGAACAAACCTCTAAACTCAAAAATCATTTCCCTTTCATATTTCAATGATGCCTTCAGCCGCTGAACATTTTTCAGTCTGACTCTGTCTGTCTTTCCAGTTCACTGCTATGGCTGCTTCCCTTTCAAAGCCTGTGCAGGTCTCCTGGAGCGATTCCATCAACAAGGCACACTCGAAGCTCATCTTTGGCACTTTAATAGAAAAACCTCAACGAATGACTCATGTGCTCTGACCTTCCCCTGTGAATACAGATGGCTCATTTTTGCAGCTGCAACTGTTGTCTGTATGTCTTCCATACATTTATTTAACAATCCTCTTACTGCAGAGCTTCTCACATGTCTGGATTCACTAATGTGTATGATTTCTGGTTTGAAAATCAATGAGTACAATTTACCACACCGGTCACTGAACATTGCTCAAGTTTGCACTTGGCCTCCTGCCACATTTCATGTGTACAGCCATGTGAAACCCTGGCAGAACAGAAGTGAATACACTATATGGCTCAAAACAGTAGGTT